GCAGGCCCCCACATTTGTATCCTAAAGTTCAAAGTGGGGATACAGCCTTGACAGTGGTAGTGGCATTTTATCATAATAAATAATAGTAATATAATCTTTTGCAGATTTTAATATCTGATCTATCATGTAGGCAATTTATGGTATAATAAAAGTAAATTAATACATACTATTAATATTTTGCACTTCTTTACTGTCTTTCATTGAAAGATTCCAATGTGCTTTGCACACTTGAAAGTGTTTCTAATTAAGGAAGGGTGTGAAATTTAAAGTGCAATGGCTGTTCCTGAATTGCTCCATGTGTGGACACTCTTATTTTGTTTCCATCTAGCTTTGAAAGTGCTTTTGGCTAATGGGAACAAGGCACTCTTACTCTGGAATAAGTATGTCCGCACCTGCAATTAAATGGGAGCAACTTCATGTGTCGACAAGCCCTAACAAAGCCTCATAAAATATTTCTATGCATTAAGCCCTAACAAAGCCTCATAAAATATTTCTACGCATTATTGTACCTATTTTACAGATGGTTGAACTGAGGAACCAAATTTGGGAATCAATAGCAGACCCCAGAAGTCCTGAAACTCAGTTTCCTACCTTATCTAAATTAACATATATTATGGCCCATATTTTCTGGCCTAGCTGCAGCTGGAGAGGCACAGGACTGCCGATCAGTAGAAAAGGTGACTTTACAGCATCAACTTTGCATTCCCCGAGTCCTGGGGCCAACAAAGGGTCTGACCAACCCCTGAAGCCCAGCTGCTAACTGTTCCAAGGAGTGATTCCAGTGGCCAAATATAGCTAAGGAAGAGGGATGACTCAGCTGCGCTCCTTTTTACTGGCCATGTCCTCTTTGCTGGGGAGCAGGTGACCAAAAGCTACTATGAGGGATCTAATCTACACCACCCAGGGATTCCGCCTAGGAAAGAGGTCTCCTAAGGAGGGAGTTTACAGCAGACTTTTCAACTGTTTTGCACTGCTTGGATGATGCAAAACAATCATAGTGGACCTATGAGTTAGGGCCTGTATCTATATAAATCTACATGCACAAAATAAAATAGTCTAATAGCTTGTATCTTAAATAAAATGCACAGTGCTGGAGAAAATACTTGTTTGTTGTAAAGTCACAATACATGCCACATATTATACACAGATATTTCAAGTCACAGAAATTCATCTGTTGTTATATTCAGCCATATTAATTGCATATAATGTCTGTGTCAAGTTTCTGTGACTTAAATGAAGGAAAAAGAAAACCCCATTTAATTATCTGTGGGCTAAAGCTAAAGGAAGTTTTCCCTGACTATAGCTTAGTAGAGATAATACTTTTATTAATTTAGAAAAAAATGTTGGCTCTTAGAACTGTAGTGTTTATATCTAGTTAAATGCCTGGCATGAGGTTATGTCCTTAATTTAGAATCTTATCTTAAATATGATTATAAAAAATGTGACAGCTTGTCAACAGACCGGAAAAATCATGTTTTCTATTTAAGTGACACTCACTGCTTCACCTTATGGACATTAGCCATTAATTACCTCTCTGAATTCTCTTTCATTTAGTTGGAATCTGTTCTGTACATAGCTATACATGTTATGTTGATAAAATCATGTAGTGTAATTTGGACATAAAAAAATCCAAGGAGTCCATATAAAATTCAGGTTACTGAACACTGGCTTTTGCAAATATGGAGACTTCTCTTTTCTACTTTAAAATCATGCTGCAGAACATTCTCTTCCTTTTTCTAAATCTGATTGCATTTCAGTGACAAAAATATATAGAAATGATCTTGAACTGAGATACAGATTTTGTGTTGAATTTAGTGAGGATACTTAAAAGAGAGAACTCTTAGCTTGAAGCTACAGTCATCATGTGTTTGCATAGAGATAGCTCCCTGTATCTGTCTCTATCTCTCTCCCTCTTTGCTGCTATATTTATCAGCCTTCCTGGCCATAAAAGGTCTGGACTGTGGCTCTGACATTCCACTGACTACAGGCATTATTTTTGTTCTGGACCTTGGAGTCCAGTTCTTAGCCCCGGTCCTGACACCTCTTTGCTGGATTTAATTTTGCTGGATTTTTCTTTCTATCATTCATCCACTTCAGGACTTTTATATTTGTCATTGTTCATTTGGCAACTGGTAAGTGTTCCATTTAGACAGGAAATATTTCTAACTTGTAAGCTCTCTTTATTTTGAATCTGTACTCTGGATTGATGGTAGCTCCCTTTAATCTTTTGAGCTCAGCAGTTAGTTGAGGGAGTTGTGGTAACAGGTTGGAGAAATCTGAAAGTGTAGCTGCAGAGACAAAGCCAATCCGTACGGGGGCTCAGTTATTATCAGCTCAGCTATCCGAACAGATAGCTATAGGACTTTTCAAACGATGCATGAGTTATTAGAGGTACAGGAGACTTTTGTTGTATAAATTCCTCTTGAATGAGAGAAAGTGTAAATAATCTTCTAAATATTTTCTAATTGTATGGGATTTATGGTGAATTCTGAAGCAGATGAAGTGACACTGACTAAGCTCAGAGGAAAATCTGATATTTTTTCCTCTGTCAACATTTTTGTTTTTCTATTTCAATATTTTTTAAAAAAGGATTTTGAGTAGATTTTTAAAAGCACAAACTATTCAGACTTACTACTAGCTCAATGGATAGGTTACAAATTAAATATTTCTATAGTATATTTATATTGTACAAATAAGTACAGAATATATGGACCCAAAAGCTGTACCTGTGGGTACCTATGATATGGACCATTGGCCACCCATGTCTAGGCTAGGCTCTGAAGTCACAAAAGCATATACAAATTCCAAGGGGAAATGCTACCCTCACACATAGCTGGGTACTGTCAGGATGTACTGAGCATGTTATAAAAATTAAGACATAGGACTCAATCCTACTCCACTGAAGCCAAAGACAACACTCCCATTGATTTCAGATTTTCTTGTGGGCTTTTAAAGGAACATAGGAATTGCCATATCAGATCAGACTAACCTGTTCCTACCAATGGTCATTACCAGATTCTCAGAGGAAAGTGTAAAAACCTTATAATGGACAATTATGCAATAACATGCCTAACATTAGTTTCTAGCTAATGTCAGGCAATTAGCAGTTAGCTTATGTCCTGCACCATGAGGCTTGATATCTCATGTAAGTTTGTATACTAGCTAGTGTAACTAACTAGTTAGTGCATATTCATATCTGTATAAATGTATAATCTTCCTAAGAATCCTACTGAGCTCTTTGCTACAGTGATTTCTTGTGGCAGTGAGGTTCATAAGTTAATTAAGTTTTGTAGAAAAAAGTGTTTCCTTTTAAAAATGTTAAATATTTTGTAAATAAATGGCTGACTTTAAATTCACTGACTGTTCTATTGTTCTCATCTTCTAAAAATGTACATAGGAATGCCTGATTTAACTTCTCTCTACTATGCATTTTATTTTATACTCTTCCATCATGCCGCCTCTTATTTTGTCTTGTTCTCTAAATTAATCAGTTCTAGTCTTTTTAATCTCTCCTCCTAAGGAAGTCTGTCTAATCATTTTAATTGTCCTGCTCTGGACCTTTTCTGTTTGTTTCATATCCTTTTTGAGATTGGTTGACGAGACTTAACGCTGAAATATTCAAGATGAGGGCGTACCATAAGCAACAGGAACAATGCAACTGCTAGTATCCAGAATGAAGCTTGCCAGTGCTGGAGACAAAGCTGGTGAAGATGAATGGGGATCAGCTGTAGCACTCTCTATGACAGGAAATCAGAGTGTCTTGCTTCCTTTTAATGTATAGAGCAAGACTCATCTCTTTGCACTAGCCTGTCTTCTGTGGACATGGATTCACTCTGGCTGGCAAGCCCTATCCCTATCTTTGTGTGGGGGAATGAAGATGATGAAGGTGTAGAAGAAGAAAATAAGACTTATACTACAGTGATTATTGCTATATGAATAAGAAGACATAGTTTATACCAGCAGTTCTCAAAGTGGGTCGTGACCCCATTTTAATGGGGTCACCAGGGTTGGCGTTAGACTTGCTGAGGCCTGGGGCCAAACCAAAACCCGAGCTCCACTGCCCTGGACCAGAGCCTGAACCCGAGGGCTTCAGCTCAGGTTATGGGGCTCAGGTTACAGGCCTTGCTGCCTGGGATTGAAGCCCTTGGGCTTGGGCTTTGGCCTCGCCAGCCTGGGCCAGTGGGGCTTGGGCTTTGCGCCACGCCACCAAGGCAGTGGGGCTCAGGTGAGTTCAGGCTTTGGTCCCCCCTTCTGGGGTCGTGCAGTAATTTTTGTTGTCAGAAGGGGGTTGTGGTGCAATGAAGTTTGAGAACTCCTGGTTTGCATATATCAACCTCCTTCTTGTTGAAAATTGAGTTTTTTCCTAGTCTTTATTTTCTTTCTTATAACAAGTTCTAACTTCAAGATAGAAGTTAATCTCTCACCCCATAACTAATTATTTAATTGCCTCTTATGAGGGACTTCAAATATTTTTTGAAAGTCCAAATAAAATATACCTTCTGGTTTTCTTTTATATACTACCATAACTCATTGGGTCCTTCATGGAATTCTAACAGATTAGAGAGGCGTGATTTTCCTTTACAGAAACCATCTGGTTTGTCCCTATCCTATCATGCTCATCTAGCTATTTAATAACTCTGTCCTTCATTTTTTGGTTACCTGGTGTCCAGTTTACCTTGTACTGGCTAGCTCTTTGGTCCATCATTTACGGGATCACACGTAGCATCTTTTTAAAAGATAAATATAATATTGGCTACCCTCCAGCCCTTTGATATAGCAGTTTATTTTTTTAATGATAGTTAAGAACTCTTGAATGAATATTCCACAGCGCTGCTATATAATTGCAATTTAAATGATCATTTTGGTTCTAACACATCTTCTTTTGATACCTCAGAGACCCGTAACAGAAGATAAACTATAACTGGAAAAATGTATTATGAAATTAGGAAGGTTAAGAGGAACTATGAAGAGCAAATTGCCAAAGACATAAAAATGAATAAAAAAAACTTTTAAGGTATATTAGAAATGGGGATCCTGCACAAGAGTTAGTGGGATCACTAGATTTCCAGGGGGAAAAAGAGCAGTCAAGAAAAATAAGGACATTGGAGAGAAGCTAAGTGATTTGTTTGCATCAGTTTTCATCAAAGAGGACAATAGGCAGGTGTCTCCCCAGTGCCACTTTTGAAGGTAAAAATGAAAACGGGAGTGAAATTCTAGCCCCAGTGAAGTCAATAGCAACACTGTTATTGAGTTCAGTGGGACAGGTTTTCACCCAGATATTTAATGACAGTTGAGAACTTTTGAAAGAATACTCCACAATGCTGTTAACTTTGCCATTGAAAATTATCAGTTTTGTTATCAGGACAATATAGCTGTGAGACTTTGGCTAAGTTGTATCAGTGAGCATAGGAACATTAAAATTCTATTCTTTTTTCATAGTTTGATTTAGTCCTGGGGATTACTTGGTTGACTCCAGATCAGAACAGGATTTCTGAACCCTATGAATGACATGTGAGTTTCCTGAACCCTAAAAAAATTGTATGAAGATTGTCCTAAGTGCATTGATTTGACTTAAGGAAAAGTTTTAGGTTTTATATTATTTGTTAATTCAGAGGTTTCCCTGATTTGAGTTTTCTTCTGTTTAATATATTCTTTTTCAGACGGTGCACACCTTAGCATTTCCAGGCAGAAAAGTGCAGTGGACAGTGAGTTAGGAGGCACCATGATGGCTTTACCTTTCTACCAGAAACATCACCAACACTATGACCGTGCGTACCGCCACAAAGAGCTGCAATCCACTCTGAGCCAGTACCAAAAGGAGGAAAAGCGTAAATCGGCTGTCTACAGTCATGGGTCTACAGCCTACACTCGTGGATCTGCTGCCTACCGCCATGGGTCTGCAGCAGCCTACAGTCATGAATCTGCAGCAGCCTACAGTCATGGATCAGCAGCCTATGGTCACGAGTCTGCAGCCTACAGTCATGGATCTGCAGCCTATGATCATGAATCTGCAGCTCACAGTAGGAGGTCTGCTGCCTACAGTCTTGGATCAGAATCTCTCAGTAAGATGTCTTCAGCCTATGATCATGAATCTGCAGCTCAGAGTAGGAGGTCTGCTGCCTACAGTCTTGGATCAGAATCCCTCAGTAAGAGGTCTGCTGCCTACAGTCTTGGATCTGAAGCCTACAGTCACGGGTAGGACAAAACACAGCCATATTTTTGGGACAATGTTGGGGAAAACTGTTTGCTGAACTTGCCCCCCTTAGATCAGAGTCAACGCTCCTATTGACTTCCAGGAGCAGGCACTGTAATCAATAATGTTAATATATTTTCCATACTTACTGCTTTCAGTTAGTTCTGGGGAGGTGGAAGAAATTTAGTCCACTTGTTGGAAGTACTGTGGTGACGGGCCCACTGTAAGAAGAACGTAGATAACTAGATAGCTTTTCTAAGGTGCAATGGCTGTGTTTTTACATTATATGCACAGTTCATATTAATGTTCAAATTGTCACACTGTAAATTGGTTGAGAAGCTTGGTATTTTCAAAGCAGAAACAACATGAAGTTTTTGTCAGGTGCAAGAAGAGCATGTCATAATTGACACTGAAATAATATAATAAAACATTGTCTAAACAATTAGATTAGTGGAATGTGCTAGATTTCCTGGCCTCAGGAACTTCAGTGATAATAAAAGCAGCTAGGGTAGTATTAAAGCAAGATTAGTACTGCAGTTAGCAATAGAAGAAATGATCATCAAGTCATAGCAGAAAATATCTACTCTCAATTACATCAGCGTAAACTCATTAAAGTCACCAGTGTACTTCAGAGGAGAATTTGATCTGTTAGGCCAAATTCATGCTTGGTGGAACTCTTCTGATATCAGTGGAGTTACACTAGGGATGAATTCTACACTCAGGTCAATAGAGTTACACCAGAGATAATGAATTTGGTCTAATGCATTTAACAATTTTCTTACAGAAACATAACCTTAATACGTTTCCAGTTATTATGAAGTTTTCATATGAGTAAATAGATTTGATTTTTATTTTAAGTCATATATATTATGATGGCTTCCAGGCTGCTCTATTTTAAACCAGATGCCAACAGCTTTTAAAAGCCATACTAACCCCCAAATCCAAACCCAAATATAGATCTAGATCAGAAAATTTTAAATAACCCCCATTCTTATAACGGGCTGATGCATGACACTGGATTCTAAATACAAACCTAGATTTTAATTGTGTAGCTTAAGCCTATCTTGGGAAAAAATATGCCATTTGAATTTTGAGCTAAATTCATGGCGGATAGGTCCGTCAATGGCTATTAGCCAAGATGGTCAGGGACACAACCCCATGTCCTTAAGACTCTCACTACCAGCAGTGGGGACTGGCTGACAAGGGATAATTGCCCTGTTCTGTTCTTTCCCTCTGAAGCGTCCGGCACCTGCCACTGTCAGAAGACAGGATACTGGGTTAGATGGACCATTGGTCTGACTCAGTATGGCCGTTCTTATGTTCTTATGAACTTATGCTCGCATCAGTTCTTATTTTATCCAAACTGGATCCTTTAGACCAGTGCTTCTCAAAGTGGTTGTCGGCTGCCAGTCCGCGGCGAGTTTCCTTATAAGAGCGTTGAATAGGATAATAATATGGCACCGGTCCCTGGCAAATTGGAAATAAAAATGGCCAGTCCCCCACATCAGATAGCTTGAGAAGCACTGCTTTAGACTCTGTCATACTCAGTGGTGCAAGTAAAATCCATTTCTTGCTGGTATGGGGCGGGGGGCACTTGCTAAGGGGAGCATGTGACCTCCCCACGTGACCATCCATGTGACTCCTCCCCACCCCAGCCCCAGCCTGGAGCCCCCATGTTCTCCCTGTCCCTCCCCATGATCCATCCCACGTTGCCTATGGGAGAGCGGGGGGCTCTGTCCTCCTCCTGCTGCGCCAGAGACTTTGGGAAAGGAGCAGAACATGGGGCCACTGGGTAGCCCCATGCTGGCAGCTCCTCCGGTGCGGCTGTACCACCCGCAGCCCCACCCCCTGCCCTTCCACGCAGCTGCATCTCCTCCGTCTGTACAGCAGCCCTGCCGGGGGGCGGGGCTGGCGGTGTACAGCTGTGCCAGAGAGGAGTTGCCGGTGTTCTGCTCCTTTCCCCACTGCAGTTCCTGGGAGAGCCCTGTGGTTCAGGGCCCTCCCAGGAACCACAATGGGGAAAGGAGCAGAACCCCCAGCCCCACCCTCTGCCCTTCCATGGAGCTGCATCTCCATCCTCCGTCCATGTACTACAGCAGCAGCCCCGCCAGAGGACAGGGCTGGGGGGCAGGGCTGGGGGTGGTACAGCTGCCGGAGGAGCTGCCGGCATTCTGCTCCTTTTCCCTGCTGCCCCTCCCTGCGGGGAAAGGAGCAGAACCCCCCAGCCCCACCCCCGTCCTTCCACAGAGCTGCGTCTCCCACTGTACAGCAGCAGTCCCACTGGAGGACAGGGCTGGGGGGCAGGGCTGCGGGTTCTGCTCCTTTCCCCACTATGGCGGGGCAGCGGGCAAAGGAGCAGAATATCAGCAGCTCCTCTGGCGGCTGTACCGCCCCCAGCTCCACCCCCCAGCCCTGTCCTCCAGTGGGGCTGCTGCTGTACCGATGGAGCTGGAGGAGAGGCAGTTCTGTGAAAGGGCTGGGGGTGGTACAGCCACGCCAGAGGAGGCGTGGGACTGCCAACTCCTCCTGTGTTTTTCTGATACGCTGTACTGGCTATAAATAACTTGCTGGTATGGTGTACCAGAGTGTACCAGTGTACTTGCACTGATGGTCATACTCATAGGACCAGATTCTCACCCCTCCTGTGGCTTCTTTACACTGCTTGAGGGCACGTCTTCACTACCCGCTGGATCGGCAGGTAGCAATCGATCTATTGGGGATTGACTTATCGTGTCTAGTGAAGACACGATAAAATCGATCCCCGATGGCTCTGCTGTCGACTCCAGAAATCCACCACGGCAAGACGCGGAAGCGGAGTTGACGGCGGCGCGGCAGCGGTCAACTCACCGCCATCCTCACAGCCAGGTAAGTCGACCTAAAATACGCAACTTCAGCTACGCTATTCACGTAGCTGAAGTTGCGTATCTTAGGTCGACCCCCCCCCATAGTGTAGACCAGCCTCAGTAGCACAAAGCAGCCATATTAGAATTGGAAAAGGTAAAGAGAAGGGCAATGAAAATGATTAGGGGTATGAAACAGCTTCCATGTAAGGAGAAATTAAAAAGATTAGGATTGTTCAGCTTAGAAAAGAGATGACTAAGATACGGATATGATAGAGGTCTGTAAAATCATGAATGGTGTCAAGAAAGTGAATAAGCGAAGTGTTATTTACCCCTTCACATAACACAAGAACCAGGGGTCACCCAATGAAATTAACAGGCAGCAGGTTTAAAACAAATATAAGGAAGTACTTCTTCACAAAATACACTGTCAACTTCTGGAACTCATTGCCAGGGGAGGATGTGAAGGCCAAAAGTGTAACTCGGTTAAAAAAGAATTATATATGTTCATGGAGGATAGGTTCATGAATGGCCATTAGAAAAGATGATCAGGAATCAACCAAGGCTCTGGGTGTCCCTAAATCTCTGACTGCTAGAAGCTGGGACTGGATGACAGGGGATGGATCACTCGATAGTTGCCCTGGTCTGTTCATTCCCTCTGAAGCATCTGGCACTGGCCATTGTTGAAAGGCAAGGATACTGGGCCAGATGGACCACTGGTCTGACCCAGGATGGCTGTTATGTTCTCATGTTCAGAAAGCATTACTACAGGGGCAGCCAAGGATTCCTTGAGAGGCAGTCTATGCTACCTGCGTCCCTCACTTTGTGTAGGGGATGTGTCAGGAAAGGTATACTGAGATGCAGAGTGGATTGCACAGCATTTGACCTGATCCCCAGATGGCCTGTCATGTAGGACAGTGGTTTTCAGCCTTTTTTCATTTGCGGACCCCTAACAAATTTCAAATGGAGATGCGGACCCTTTTGGAAATCTTAGACATAGACTGCAGACCCCCAGAGGTCCATGGACCACAGGCTGAAAACTAATGTAGGAGACTCAGTGGTGCAGAAAGCATTCTCAGTGCATTTGGCATATACTGTAAAGAGTTTTGTGGCGCTGGATCATGCTCAGTGTAGATGGAATGCTTGTCAGTTTTAGCAGCACGCTTCTAACAAGCTCTGCTGAGTATGGAGAAATGACAATTTTCAGAGGCTTATTGACAGGGACCAGATCAGCTAGGACCAACTGCTGGCCTGCTCCCTGACTGACTTCTCTGCTAGAGAGCCATGAGCCAATCCGCACTGCCTGGGAACTGACAGAGTGGCCACAGGCCCTGACTGGCTGCTGGTTTCAAAGCTCTGCTTATAATCCTGGCCCTGACACCAGATCAGCAGCTGCTCAACGCATACTGTGCCTGCAGCTGTGCTTGCCCTTGTTCCAGTGCCTGCTCCCCTCTGGCTTCAGACTTCTAGCTTCAATCCCCAGCTCTGCATGACTTACCACTCTGGTTGACCCTCCAGTTCTGGCATTTGGCTTCTGCCTTTCCAGTACTGAACCCTGGCTCCACCTCGGGGTTACCCAGCTCGGGCATTTGGCTTCTGTCCCTCCAGTACTGACTCTTGGCCTGTTTCCTGGACTCTGCCCATCCTGGACCCAGCGCTAACTGGTAGGCCGAACTCTTGCTTCCACCACTAAGCCTGAGCACCCATGGCCCAGTCAGCTATAGTTTGAGTAGCCCCAATACAAAGGCTAAGGACCCACATCGCCGGCATGTCCCCCTCTGGTGGGGGCCCATGCAGAACTTGCAGGTGCACAATGCGGCCCTACAGGCCCAGGAGGCTTCACTATCAACCCTGGCTCTTGCCCCCCAGGTGCCAAAAGTCCCACTCCCAGACAAGTTTAGTGGTGATTGTGGTCAGTTCTGAGGTTTCCTAAATCAATTCAGGTTCCTCGTCTTGTTACACCCCCAATTGTTCCCCACAAAGCAGGCCTGAGTAGGGCTCATCATTAGTCTGCTCACTGGGGAAACCTTGGCCTGGGCCTCCTGACTTGAAACAGTAAATCCCCCTCCTGGGTCAGTTGGAGCAGTTCATTCAGGCCATGTTGGTTCTCTTCAGTGACCCCCACCACACCCAAACTGCTGAAGCTGTGCCGCAAGCATTAC